TTTGGCAAGTGGTATTGGTATGTTTATATTGTGCAAAATGTGGTGGCATTACTCTCCCTGAATATTCTAAAATTCCAGAATCTTCCTTTCGAAGAAACCAAGTTCTTCTCACACAAAAATTCCCTCGAGAACCACTTCTCGATCATTCTATCTACATCATGCACTAAAATGTCGGTCACATTTCCTTTTCGTGCTAGTATACTAGCAGTATATATGGCTGCCATTCTCCCCGGAGAAACTGGTGTGTCCCCATGTGGTCCGTCCACCACCACCACATCCCACTTTGTATTGGCAACTTCATGTGGGAGGTTTGTTAATGCCAGTTTGCACCTTGATAATTTGGGCGGATGGAATCTAGGTGAACAATCTGGATTTTCTCTGGCATGCTTGAGTAGCTTGTATGCTTCAGCAGCAATATTCTGGTACTCGACTTTGTAAACTCGAGTCTCGTTTGTAGCTCTCATAGTGCTTATTTTCTCGGGATTGTCTTCAATGAAGACGGTGAAACCACCAGCATTCAAAGAGGCTAGGCTCAAGTATTGGGGTTCAAGTCCAAAAACAAGAAGTTTGCAGGGAATTCTCCTAGAAACAAGATCCAAGAGAAATCGGCTTTCCTTTTCAGTAAGAATACTGGCATTTGCATTTGCAGGTGAAATGTTATTCCTGCACGTTGAAGAAGATGACGAACATTTTTGCTGCCGAACGAGAGGTGAACCGGCTGGAGGCAGAGATGGGGATGAAGTTATTATCGTGAGTCTGAGAAGTCGGAGTACTGATGCAATAAATAAAATAAAAACAAGAACCGGGATGAGCTTCCTTTTCGGAGATACCATACTTCTTCCTTGACAATATTTGTTATGCAGTACTGTTCGTGATTGCTCAGATTTTGACGAGGCTCGGGGCAGAATTGGAATCAGCGGAGTAACAAGAGGATGGCAAAGGAATACTTCTGGGGGCATTTTGCTTGTTCTCTACCCTCCCCACCACAGGCATCACATCCTCATTATAGAGTGGTGGCTTTTGATTAATGAATTCATTGATAAGTCCATAATTTTCTTGAGTAAGGAAGAAGGGATGGATTTGCTTTATTACGAAGCATCACTTTATTTATATTACAACCATTCGTGGTTAGTGTGGGGTTCTTTGATTTCTTTGTTTGCATCTACTGTTTCTTTAAGCATTTGGT